TGCCATTGACAGTGTTATCACATTGCCATTGACAATGGTATTACATTGCCATTGACAATGTTATCACATTGCCAGTCACATTGACAATGTTATTACATTGTCATTGACAATGTTATCACATTGCCAGTCACATTGTTATCACATTGCCAGTGACATTGTTATCACATTGCGAGTGACAATGTTATCACATTGCCATTGACAATGTTATTACATTGCCATTGTCGTTGAAAATGGTATAACGTTCCAATAACACAACAATGGCAATGACTTATCATTGCCAATGACATTGACATTTGAACGACATTGACATTGGAAATGAAATTGATAACATTGTTAATTTAATATAATGCATTTAAATCTATAATTTTAAAAGATATATTGATTTGTTAAACTTATGATATTACAACCATTGCAGTTTGAGTTCCAGCCTATTGTTCCAACAACAATAGAGCTTGAAGATGCTAATATAGCAAATATGTGGACAACCAGAAATGAGAAAAGCATAGTGGATGTGAATGCAGCTGTGGAGAAGGTGATCTATGAGAGTGACAATGAAGGCAAGATGCAGTCTCGAATAGATAAAAGAAGATCACAGAGAATACCGAAAAAAACTGCTTTGAAAAGAAAAGCATCAAGCAAGAATGGTAAAGAGGAATCGGAAATTGAATTCAAAAAAGCCAAGAAAAGTACTACTTTGAGAAGGAAAGCAACAAAAGGCAAAAAAGGTAAAGAGCAGGCAGAAACTGAGAGTCAAAGCAACTCTGAACAAGATCAGTTTCAAGTAATATGTTTGAAAGAGCTGAAGGGTATCAAAGATACCCTAAAGAAACATGATAAAATGTTTGAGCAGATATTGGCATTGCTTCTGAAGAAAGGGTATGAAATAAAAGATTCTGGCAAGACAGTGCAGGGGAAGAAGATTGTACAAGAAGTTGAGCTTGACTGTAATACAAGTTCTGATGATGACACAACTGAGGAAGAATATGAAGAGAATGATTCTAGTGAACAAGAAGATGTAGAGGTGTCTGATAATTCTGGAGAAGAAGAAGATGCTGAGATATCTGGGGAGGGTGAAAAAGATTATAATAAGCAAGATGTTGTGGAGTCTGGAGAAGAAGAAGATGATGAGGAATCTGGGGAGGGTGAAAAAAATGATGATAAGCCAGGTGCTGAGGAGTCTGGGGAAGAAAAAGATGCTGAGGAGTCTGGGGAGGGTGAAAAAATGATAATAAGCCAGATGCTGAGGAGTCTGATGAATCTGGGGAGGATAAAATCTCTAAAAACGAAGTTTCTGTAAAGGAAATGGAAGAAGAAAAGGCTGAAGAAGTGTTTGAAAAAGAAAATGTTAAAGAAGTGCAGAATATGGGGGGTTCTGATATGCCAAGTTTTGATTTGCACTTCACTCCAACACCTCCTGAAAAGACAATGTCTAACAATGAAAAATCTCCATTGTTGGGAGACACTCAATTTTCACCTGAAGATCTACAGCAAGTCGATAATATTGTGAATGAAATTATAAAAAACAAGGTAATGACAATGATAATTGAAAACATTTCTATGGGTCTATTTGTGACATTCTGATTTGTTACTACAGGATAAAGATGGTCAGAGTTCTGGAGAAAAGGAATTCAGAAGTAACAATGAAAAAGCAATAGTGGTAAATAGTAAATTAAATAACAACATAAATTTTTATTGGTGATAATATAAGATTTCCTAAAAATGTCATGAGAATGTTATAGATATATCATTGACAATGGCATTTAAAATGCCATAACATTGGCAATCTATATAGTACAATGCCATTGGCAATGCCATTTCGAATGTCATTGTATGAAGTACAATGCGATTACAATGACTCTGAGAAATGACATCGGTAATAGTATAACATTGATAATGGCATTTCTAATGGCATCTCATTGGCAATTACATAGTTTCTATCAATACCATTGCGGATGACATTGGGAGTGGAATATAATTTGAATTTTGCAATGCAGGTTTATGCAGAAAGAATACCTATTCAAGAGACATTGGCAAAGTTTAAAAGGCCAAAAAGGACCGCCACTCAACCTGACAAATACACTCCTACAGAACTTGTGCAACAAAGAAAGAAAGCTAAGGTGGAAAGGCTAGAGAAGAAAATGCTGAAACTAAGAATGAATGAAAGAAAGTCATTGTACGGGTCATTTGCACTTGACCCTTTTGAGATGCCACCTGTTAATGCAATTGAGAAAACAAGGACTTATTTGAATATTGGACTGCTGAAAAATAGGAGGAAATTTGAGGATGCTAGGAAGTACAAAAAGAATTTTGAGGTTCTGGACAAAATGCCTTTTATAGTTGATGACTTTGAGATAAGGTCAAAAACATGGCTCTACGAACTGTTTTTCAATCAAGAATGGCTGACTGATTCTGTAAGTAGTGGTTTAATATAATACATACTCAAATTGTTTGCTATGTAAATTTATAATTTTATTAAATATTTATGAAACTCTTTATATTGCAGCATATGGCAGTGTGCATGTACTATTTGAATTTCAATAGAGCACAGTACAAATTACCACAAAAATATGCTTCTGTGGGTCCATATTTCATTCAAATTCTGAAGACAGCACATAACGAAATAAAGAATAACAATAAGACATGAAAGATGCATCTGACCATAATACTATAGTGTCAGAAATTTTGGGAATGACATGCGAATATGGAATGCCATGGAGTGAATCAGATTTTGTGTACATGCCTGTGTGTAATGGTAGCCATTGGGTGTTGCTGGTTATAGAAATGAACACCAAAATAATAAGGGTTTGCAATTCAAAAGCAAATCGGGGTCAATCACTTAGAGACATTGTTGAATATCTTCCTTGCTTCAAAGAGATGTTACATCTTATCCTTGACAATTACGGAGTGTATGACAAGATGGAACATATAAAAGATGATAAGTTCACAGTTCAAGCAGTGGAAAATTGTCCACAACAGGATGATTGGTAAGTTCAATATATTGAAATATATATATTTTTTGTCTAATAAAATTATTAGATTTTAATGTTGTGTTTTTTCCTTTACTTCTTGCAGTGGAAACTGTGGAATGTTTGTTTTGAAATTTGCTGAATTTCTGATGATGGGAAGGGATATTCAGGAAATCAAATCTGAAGACATGCCCCTATTTAGAGAAAAAATGATGACAGAGCTGATACTGTATAACGAAAGAAGGATGAAGGAAGCATTGGGTTGAAGATGTGGCAGCGAAGTGAAGATGTGGGCAGGACTGAAGTGCTTTATATGATATGATATGATATTCTAATACAATCGTGTGTAATATACTTAGTGAAACAACTACTATCTGTTTGCATTGAACAAATTATTGCACTTCGTTATTTTGTTCAATTTATGCAAATGACATTCCAATGTTATTATAGTGCATTTTGAATGTCATTCCATTTTATTGAACAGTATCTCAGATGTCATGACAATATCTTTGACATTGAAATAGCATTGTTATTTCAATGACATTCACAATATCAATGTATTCATTGTCTTTACATTATCATTCTAATGACATTGCAAATGACATTGAAAAGTAGAAAATGACATTGCATTGAAAATGTAATTACAATGACAATGATCTTATTGCCAGAATGCGTCTTTACATTACCATTGTAATGACATTGCAAATGATATTGAAAAATTAGAAAAATGACATTATCCAAATATCTTTGATATTGAAAAATTACATTGAAAATGTAATGACAATGAGAATGATTTTATAGCCAGAATGCCATTCTAGAAATGTTTTATCATTGCAAAGGATAGAAAATGAAATGATAAATGTGAACATCTCAATCTAAATTTCAGAAATTACATTTAAAAGTGTCATTCTAAATATAAGAATGTCAAATACACCAATAGTATTTAGCAGTAAAAATGTACTGCTAAAGTGCAAAAACACCAGTACAACTTTAACATCTCTATTTTTTTGATTTTTTTAAACATGGGGAATTGGATTTTTACAAGTCTTCTGATTATGCCCAACACCAGTACAACGTGAACATCTCTGTTTTTTTGATTTTTTAAATGTAGGAAACTCTCCAACAGATGGTATCCTCTTCTTCTTTGGCCTTCCAGCTGGCCTCTTTTCACACTTAGGTGGTTTGCAGATCATACTTTGAACATCAGCAGGGACATTCCATGCAGCAACATCACAAATTGGATGAACAATCCCATTGTAAGTAGCACACAACGCGTCACGTTTATAAAAAGGCGAAATGAAATCATAACATGACATGTTTGGTGCTTTGGAAATCGCTGCTACAGCATGTACACACACAAATTGATCCAATTGAAATGCACAGCATGTGCAAATTTTTTTCTTCAAATCAACAACAAAAGATCGACAACGCCTATCAACAACCTGAAATTCGTAAGCACAAGAAGGCTTCACCTGCAACAGTAAATAACTAATCTAAGCAAAAAGGAAAAATAAAATGAAATTCAGTTATTATGAGAAAATGTCAAAGATTTAAACACAATGTCAACAACTTTAACAAGCAATGTCAAACATTAACAAACACAATGTCATACCTGCATACGAAATGCTTCACGTTGCAGAACTATAAGCTCATGTTCACGCTCTTTAGGCAGAATAGTTGTAGTTGAATGTGCTAAATCACGACGCTCTGTAAACCATTTTTGCATTCGTTCACGAATAAAATCAATTAATTTTGCTACTGGATACTCTCGAGCACAAATGTTGACATTATTCATGGACTCAGCCCAGTTAGAAGTCATGATATTATATCTATACGGACCACTCATGCACCTTGCCTACTTATCACTTCCAAACTTATCTAAATATGCTCTTATACGAGGATCCTCCAAATCCAACAAAGCCATATATTCTTGATACTCCTTGTAAGTAGAAGCTCGTGCTGCAGCATTAAACTTCCACTCTTTACCATCAGCAGAACCCTTAAACTGCGACCGAATGTTACCAGCTAAATGGTGAACACAATAACCATGTCCAGCTGAAGGAAAGACATCTTTAACAGATTTAATAATTCCAGCATTCCTGTCAGAAACAATATATAAATTGTGTCTATAAGATAAAGCCAGTTTCAACTGTGAAAAGAACCATTTCCAGGAATCCTTGTTTTCTGAATCACATATCCCAAAAGCTAATGGAACAAGCTGACGGTTGGCATCCCTGGTACAGGCAGTGAGCAAAGTCCCTTTGAAATAGCCCTTCATAAAAGTACCATCAACTGTTAGGACAGGAATACAGTGATCCCAAGCTTCCCTCCATGCAGACAATGACATGAACATGTACTTGAAAACAGAATCAGCATGACGAACAAGAGTTATGACAGACTGTGGATTAGCTTTTCCAATGACATGGCACATGGAAGGTAATAATTGATATGACTCTTCATCGGATCCAAAGAGAAGCTTCATTGAATGTCGCTTAACTGCCAAAGCTTTACGGTAAGATAAAGAGATGCCAAATTCTCTACGGATGTCGTCAATTATGTCATTTGGCGGATAGGGTTTCTTAGAAGCATTGGAGTAACGATGAATAAGCATGCCTGCAACAATGTCATAAGTGGCCTGCTTGTGATCACCCTCTCTGAAATCCACTTAACAAGAATGAGTTGAATCAAATCTGAAAAAGAAGAAGTGAAAATTAAAGTTAATGTAACTGATAATTACAACTATAAATAAATAAATAAAAATGTTAAAGTTGCAATTGAACCTGCGAATCTGAAAGAAGTCCACATCAGGAAGACGAACACCACGAACAGCCCACTCACATTTCTCATCAGGACAAAAAACATGTAAACTTTCTTTTCTTGAAGTTTTAGTCACATACTGAAAGTTGTTCTCAATGGCATACAACTTCAAGTGATATATAAGATCATGTTTATTCTTGTATATAGCATACAATGCTATCGTGGTAGTCCCTCACGATAGCATACAATGCTATAGTGAGGGACAACTTGAGGGAAAGTTGTTCTCAATGTTGCCCTCAAGTCGAAGGCGGACAGGGCTGATTTGTACGTCACGCAGCTGCACGTTGGGCCCTCGGCCGTAGTGCTGGAGCCAGGCGTCGATGATCTGCTGTCCCGGCCACCCGAGGGATGCATTGACGTCCACATCCTGTCGGTGTCAATGGGCCTCCGGTTCCCCCTGCACCCATTTCTCCGGGAGTACCTCAGGTTCGTTGGACTCATCCCCTGCCAACTTACCCCCAACAGCCATTCATACATTGCCGGCTTTCTGCACATGTGCCGGACGAGGGATGTTACCCCAAGCTTGGACCTCTTCTTCCAAAGCTTCAACTTGTGCCGAGGGGGGCACGCGAATGCCGAGGGCTTCGCCAACTTGCAGTAGGTAGCGAAGTTCAAGCTGTTTACCGAGGCGCTCTCGTCCAACAAGGGCTGGAAAGATAGATGGTGCTACGTCCGGTTGGCCGAGAATCCCTTCCCGAGGGAGCTACGGGACCGCTTTCGGCGCCACGAGAGGGTGGGGAGTGCCGCCCTAGAGAATGATGGCCTGAAACTCGCCAAGATCCCGGAGGGCAAGAAGAAGGTCGTGACGATCAAAGAATGCACTTTTGAGGAAGACTTGCATGCCCTCGGGTTCCAACGGTACCGGTTCATCGGGGAAACAGACGAGAAGTACCCCGTCTTCGCTGAGGCCTTCGAGGCAGCAGGAGGTTGTCTACGAGGGCCTTTAGTCTCATACTTAGGCACTTTCATTTTGCATCCCGATAGTTGTTTGTGCTATGAACCCTTCGAGTTAATATTCTCTTTGCTTTGTTTTGCAGGTATGGAGGCTCTCTTCGCAATGAAAAAGAAGAAGGAGAGGGCGCAGGCCCAGAAGAAGGAGAAAAAGGAGCCCTCGGGTCAAAAACCCATTGATGAGGTTTTCCCGAAGGAGACCGCGGAGCCTTCAGTTGCTGCTGCTCCCGCTACTGTTGCCGGGGGGCCGAAGGCTGATGTGGCGGCCAAGAAGAAAAAGGGGAGCAAGGGGGTGGAGCCCCCGATCAAGAAGCAGAAGGTTGCCGGGGGCGCTGTTGAAAAGGCGCCCCCCCTCATAGTAATCGATGATCAGCCCTCCGTTGACCCCCCGGCCATTGACACTCTGGCTCAAATAGACCTTCCCCTGGGGAACCTGCCTCGGGAGATTATTCAGCTCTCCCTCGCTCCGGGGGCATCTGTGTTGCACGGTTCAGCTGAGCCGATGTCTTTCCTGAGGGGGATTACCTCGATGATGGATAAGGAGGCCCTCTCCACCTATGACGATGACGCCCTCGAAGCCAAGGCCCTTCGATCAGCTCTGACTGTAAGTGTTTTTAATTTGACTTTATCTCAACAGTTGTTATAATCCCAATGCCCGTCTGAACCCTCTGTCCGTTGTTCAACAGGCGTGTATAACCTTCGGTGAATAGGCCCGAAGGCGAGAGGAGTGGTGCCGTCATAAGGCCGAGCTAGAGAAGTCCGTGAAGGAGCTGATCCACGACAAGGACGCTGCCCTCCGGGAGGTGTGCAAGTTGGAGGACGCCCTTCGGCAAGCGGAGCTGCGGCTGAAGGAGGCCAGAGAAGACGGGAAGGCCGAGGGCAGGGCTGAGGCCGAGAGGGTGGCGGCCGAGGAGAGAAAGCAAGCTGCCGAGGACGCCGAGAAGGCCAAGGCTGAAGCTGCTGCCAAAGCCCGAGAAGAGGCCATTGCTGGGTTCACCTCCGAGGGCTGGAAGGCCGAGGGCCAGAGCGAGTGGGTGGCCTCTGTGGTGAAGGCCTCGATCGAGGAGTGGGTGAGGGGCCCCGGGCTCGACTGGATGAATGAGAGGGGTGACACCTACTATCAATCTGGCGAGTTCTTCACCCAGCACCTGGTTTACCGGAGGCTCGCACGACATTTTGGCACCTCCCTGGATGAGTTCAACCCCTCAGTGTATGGCCTCCCCCCGTTGCAGCCAGACGTGAGGGTCCCCCTCCCCGAGGGAGAAGAGCGCCCAGTGATTCATGATTCCATGATGATGGGCGTCGATGATGATGCCGAGGACGCCACCGGGACGGAGGTTACCTCGAAGCCGTCGGGGGAGGCGGCCCCCGGGAATGATGTTGTTGACATGTAATATGTATTTTGAACACTGTTGTAATAGCCACGTTAGCATGTTTTCGGCCTCGGCCAACATTGTAATAACTACATTTACTCCTTGCTGTGATGAATGGATGATTGCCTTCGGGCTCTGTATATATGACTTGTTTTCTCCAATTCCTTTCTTCTTGGACGTATGCCTTCGGTATTTTTGAATGTATGTCTAGGACATAGAATATTTTCTGATTGTAGCTTGCCCTTGGAAGCCTTCGGTAGTTGGGGCACCCTCTGCTGAATATGCAACCGAGGGTTCAGCAGTAATTAGGACTTAGAAAATTTTTCTAAGTGTAGCACACCATAGGGCCTTCGGGTGCTTGTAGTAACCCAATTCCTAGGACTTAGAAAAATTTATAAGTGTAGATTTTCCCTTGAGAGCCTTCGGGATATGGCATCCCTTCCTGATGTGTGAATGTTGGACCGAGGGCCCAATGTACAGGACTTAGAAAATTTTTGCTAGTGTAGTATGTCACGTAGCCTTCGGCTACTGTGGAGCCCCAACTGAAATACTGATTAGGCCGGGGGCCAATTCTTTAGGACTCAGAATTTTTTCTTCAGTGTTGATTCCTTGTGTACTGTAGCCTCCGATTGATAGGTAGCCTTCGGCTGTTAGGTCCCTTGAAATGAGGGTGAAATATGTAGGACTTTAGAAAGATTTCTAAGTGCAGTTTTTCCCTTGGGAGCCTTCGGGAGCTGGCATCCCTTCTTGATGTATGAGTAGTTGACCGGGGGAAAAACTTGTAGGACTTAGCAAATATTCTAAGTGTAGATTTTCCCTTGGGAGCCTTCGGGTGATAGGTGCCTTCTGACTCTACATTACTTTGCGAGATGCCCGGGGGCTGCTCATTCAGGACTTAGAATTTTTTCTAAGCATAAATTGATGTTGAATCCTGTTGTTGTGAAGAAAGCCAATGAGGAGTGTGTGCCCTCGGCATACACCTTAAAAGTTGTAGAATTTGACCCTTGTCATGGGGAAAGGGCCCTCGGTACTAGTGCGTAACAGATGCCTTCGGTATATGTTTGAAGGTACCGTCTTAGTGTACTTTGGATAGTCCAGTCCCTTTGTATTGTTGAAGCCTTCGGTGTTTGTGTGACCGGAGGTGACCAGGCAGTGGACTTAGCCGTTTCTTGATGCTATTTGTTCGAGTAGTATCCTTCGGGAAATAGGAGCCTTAAATTACCGGAGGTGTTCCCGTGGGGAGCCCTCGGCATGTTGTGATCTGTTGGAGTGTACTCTTTGATTTCTCGCTGAGTCTACTCCCCTTCACCCCCCTTTTTTTTGGGTTGGTGGTGAAGGGAAGGCATCAAGAAACTTGGTTTCTTGGTAAGGCTGGGCCTATTAGGAGACCATCAGAATACACCAATGGCTCTCCTCCCTCGGGTTAACCTTCCGAGTTCCGAGGGGATCGAGGGTCGTTTCCCGGGCACAAGATATGGTGGTCCGTAACCTGCCTCCCCTTGGGGGATGGCGCGGAAAGCGCCTCATTTTTTAAAGTCGTCCCCTCGGCGCTAGACATAGTCCGTGGCCTGCCACACCCTTGGGGTGGTGGCGCGGGGAGCGTTTCGGTTTGGAAGTCGAATCCTAGGCATTTCTCGTGCCTGTCACACCCTTGGGGTGATGACGCGGATAGCGTTCCGTTTTTGAAAGTCGAATCCTGGGCATTTCTCATGCCTGTCATACCCTGGGGGTAATGACGCGGAAAGCGTTTCAAGGTAGGGTTTTCATTTGCACACTAGTTGCAAATGGCCGGGGGCACTACGTGCCGCCGGCACCGATGGTGGCGCCTTCGGTATATGCGTCCTCGTGGGGTACGGCTTTTAGAAACAACATTTGGTGTTAGTTTCGATGTGTAGCCCCCGGTACTTGGTACCGAGGGGTCTTCTGTAGGAACACTTGGTGTTCTCTTTTGTTGTAGTTGACGGAGGTGTCTTCCCTCGGTACTTGGTACCGAAGGGTCTTCAAATGAAACACTTGGTGTTTTGATTGGAGTGTTCGGTGCCGGAGGGCCTTCGGAGGAAACACTTGGTGTTTCCCAACAGATGTTTTGGAAGTTGATAGGAGAGCATATCCCCGGCACTGGGTGCCGAGGGGGCTTCTGTGAAACATTTGGTGTTTTTTCTTCGTTTTGATGTTGATGATGGAGGTGTACCCTCGGCACTGGGTGCCGAAGGGTCTTCTGTAGGAACACTTGGTGTTCTTATCTTCGAAGTTGAGG